CATGATAAATGCAACATGCCAAAATTAAATCAAGATCAGAAAGACAATATAAATAGATTTATAACCCATAAGGAAATAGAAACAGTCATTAAAAGTCTCCCAACAGTAAAAACAACAATAAGAAAACCCAGGGCCAGACAGTTTTAAGGCAGAATTCTACCAGAATTTCAAAGAAGAATTCTACCAATACTCCTCAAATTATTCCAAAAATAAAAAGTGAAGGGACATTGCCAAATTCTTTTTATAAGACCACAGTTACCCTGATATCCAGTCCACACAAAGATTTAACAAAGAAAGAGAATGGCACACCAATTTCCTTCATGAGAATGAACATAAAAATAATAAAATACTGACAAACCAAAAATCCAAGAACAAATCAAAATCATCTACCATGAACAAGTGGAATTCCTTGAGATGCAGCAATGGTTCCACATATGAAAATCTGTCAATTAATACACAATATAAACAAACAGAAAGAAAAAAATCACATGATCATCTCATTGGATGCTGAAAAAGCCTTTGACAAAATCCAACACCCCTTTGTGATCAAAGTCTTGGAGAAATTCCTAAATACAATAAGAGCAATGTACAGGAAGCAGATAGCCAACATCATTTTAAATGGTGAAAAACTCAAAGTATATCCAGTAATATAAGGAAAGAGACAGGCTGTCTACTGTCTCCAATATTTATTCAATATACTACTTGAACTTCTAGAAAGAACAATAAGACAATCAAAGGTGATTAAGGGGAATTGGGAAAGAAGAAGCCAAAGTATCACTATTTGCCAATGGCACGATAATATTAATAAGCAACTCCAAAAATTCTACCAGGGAACTCCTCAGCTAATAAACACCTTTATGGAAATTGCTGTATACAAGATTAACTAAAAAAATTAACACCCATAGCCATCAAGAAAATGCAAATCAAAATTACTCTGAGATTCCATCTTACACCTGTTAAAATAGCTAAGATAAAAAACACTGATTACAGCTTATGCTAGAGAGGATGTGGAGCAAGGGGAACACTCATCCATTGCTGGTGGGAGTGCAAACTTGTACAGCCTCTTTGGAAATTGTATGGCATTTTCTCAGAAAATTGGGAATCAACCTACATCAAGACCCAGCTATACCAATGTTGGGAATATAGCAAAGGATACTCAATTGTACCATAAGGACACCTGCTCAATTATGTTCATAGTGGCTTTATTCATAACCTAGATGTTCCAAAACTAAAGAATGGATAACAAAATTTTGGTACATTTACACAATGGAGTATTACTCGGTTGTTAAAAACAATGACATCATCATGAAATTTGCAGGCAAATGGAGGGAACTAGAATAAACCATCCTGAGTGAGGTAACCCAGACCCAGAAAGATAAACATACTATGTATTTATGTATAAGTGGATATCACCCATAAAGGAAAGGATAACCAAGCTATAATCCACAGACACAAAGAGGCTAGGTAACAGGGAGGGTCCAGTGGGAAATACATGTATCTCCCTGGGAAGGGGTAATTGAAGAAATCTGCTGGGTGGACTGGGGGCAGCTGGGGATGGGAACTTGGGGGATAGAGTTGAGGCTGGATGGACCGGGTTTGTAATTTTGGGGTCAAGTAGAACCTGTTGCATGAGAAACTCCAGAGAATCTGTAAGGATGAACCCAGCTAAGACTTCTAGGAATACTGGATATGTAGAGTGAACTCGCCATCTCCTGAGATCAGATCGGTGACTACCCCAATTGTCATCAGAGAGGCATCATCCCACAACAGATGGAAACAGATGCACAAGTCCACAGTAAACCATTAGGTTGAGCTCAGGGAATCCTGCTGAGAAGAGAGAGGAAGGATTGTAGGAGCCAGTGGTGTCAAGGACATCACAAGAAAACCTACTGAAACAACAGAGTCTAAACCATAACTAGGGAGCCTTCCTGGGAATGACCCAGGCCCTCTACATATATGTTGAGGTTGGTGCCAGGATATAGAGAAGTCAATCTCAAACGAATCTGGAAAAATCTTCACTAAGGCTAGGTTTCAGAAGCTCAAGACATGCTTTGCAGACTTCAGGGAGAGAAAGTTTATGAGTGCTCTTACCAAGCACTGGACCCTGCATGACACAATACTGACTAGCTAGGCAATATGTGCCCCATGGTACTATTGTCATAGGATGACTAATTATTTCTTATTGTATGTGAGGTCTTTATCGTATGGGGGATGTCATGTTTAGTATTGTAGTCTAAATCAAAAGCCCATGATTGGGGAGGTCACAGGCCCTAAGGTGGAACCTATTACAATCACATTGCTAAGTGGTCAAGTGGTCAAACTACACTTTTGGTATTTGTGTTTATACCAGAATTGTTGTCAACCTTGGTCAGAAAAGTTTCTTTGTGCAGTAGGTTGTACAGAGTAGCAGGACTGCTCAAAATGCTCAAGAGATGAGAAAGTGTGTTCAGTCCTATGGAGACATCATCATCAACTTCCTCCCAGCAGCACCACCCCAAAGATTCAGGGAATATCAGGGAAGAGGAAGCAGAAAGAATATAATAGCCAATTGATGAGGAAAAGTTCTGTAAAAAGCTGACTTCTGAACATACCATGGGTGTCCCAAGCACAAATTCATAGCTACTGTGGTTAGCTATATGCAATCTGCTCATGATTAGCCAGCCGAAATTCCAGCATAAATAGAGAGCTGCCCACTACCATTTAATAAATAATTATTGTTAGGTGGTAGTTGTTGGATATGAAAGATTCATTCTTTATTGTGGGTGCAGTCACTGATAGGTACCCTTGCTCCAGTGAATGGCCTATAACCATGCACCAATGGACAGCATCAACAAGAAAAAGTTAGAGGCGAACCCTTTAGGGTACACTCATGGGAAGACTGAGAGGGAAAGTAGGGGGGATAGGATCATAGTTCATTCTCTGTATGTATGAGATTTTCAAGAAATATTTATTAAGAAAAGCAGCGAGTATACTCTTCTATGAGACTAGAAATTAATAACTGTAGAGCTGAAAGTAGATATGCATATGTGCACATATTAAGATGTTTTTATACTTATACATAACAAACAATTTTATATGCTAACGACAGAAACAAGTCAAGTTAAAATTTGGGATATTCATACTCATTGTGTCTGTCAGGGTGATCCAGTCACTTCGAATCATCTTAATCTTTTGATTTGCTGTGTCCTGTGCATCTTAGAGCACACAGTCCTAGCTGGGTTCAGTATTACATCGTGAGCAGTTAGCTTCCAGACCATTCCTCTTCCTTATCTAACACTTGCTCAGACATGGCCTTGTCCTTACCTGAGAGCTCCATGGACAAAGTGAAAAGGCATGTGAAATTAGAGAAAACCTTTGCACACACTCCTCTCAACTGTACACCAGTGTTAGAGTATGAGGGCTCAGGAAACTCACAGTTTGGGTGGGCTATTGTTAATCCATTGCCATTTTCTTTTCTTTGTAACATATGATAATCCAATCCAGAAACTATGTGGATTGATTTTCGGCTGAAGGAACTTCTGTAAGAGAAAAAATAGCACATCTGATGATAAAATTTCTCTGTTTGGTGAGGAAAGAAAAATCATAACAGGTCCCAGGCATTCTTATGTCACTTCTCTGCTGTCCTGTCCTCCAGTGCTTCAGTCCCTCCAAGTTCATTTTTAAAGTGATTTCCCTCGAGTCGATCATTTATGTCTAAACCGATGTCAGTTACACAAGTTATTCAAAATGAAAGCTTCTGGTGTCTACAAATACTGGATTCATGACATTATTTATGTCTGTGTTTCTTAGGCCAAGTCTCACTATGTAACCAAGGCTGACCCTGAATTCACAATATTCCTGCTTGTGGCTCTGAAAAACAAACCATACTGCATTCATGATTTGTTATATAATTTCTGACACTCTATAAAATTATTCAAATGTATGTTCTCAAAGACTACAGAGGCACATGGAAAATGTTCATATGGTAAATAATGGCCTGTCTTCAAAGCAAATTCATTAAGATGAAAATCCTGTGTGAAAAGCTGCCCATTAAACTCCATGCTCCACAGAGAAAACCATTTTGAAATTCAGACCTGGAAGTGACAGAAATTGAGGAGGAAAGGGACAGATATTTGTAAAAATTCAATAACCTAATATATTTAAATGTGAGTTTAAATTTAATTATGCTTACTATATCAACTAGCAACTTGCATTATTATTTGACATTAAAAATTCTTTTATGTTGTAGTTTTTATACATGTTTTAAATTGGTGTATAAATTTTGTGCCATGTACTAAATGACAAGTTTCAAACTGATGCTTCAAGCATTTCTCTAGAAAAAAATAGTCTTCATATTAGAAGAGATGTTGTTAGTAATAATTTAAACAAAATGTCAGCACCTTGGCACCTTTGTTTTCTTTTAATTACTCATTTCTAAAACTAGACATCTAAAAAATGAAAATAGTACAAAGTAAAGATTATGGACAGTTTGATTGATAATCACAGTGCAACTAACTGGTAAAACTATTAAATTCCATGGTTCTCATGTAATTTCTATTCTGCATATTGGCCCAGAGGTCAGTTACTTTCTCTATTTCATCCAATAATTACTCATCTCAGGTAGTCTCACTTCTCACTTCCAAAAAGCAAGCCCAAGACTGCAGCCTCTCTGGTTATAGTTGGCACTCTACGGAGATACATACCTGTCCCTCACAGGTCCATAGGAAACATGCTTATATGTAAGGCCCTGTAACAGATTCCTGAGAAAGAGAAGGACTTGCAAAGACATGACTGTCTTTTTAGTAACAAGTCACCTCATAACAGACCCCATGTTCTGAGACTAGACCCAGAACAGGAAGGAGTAGGTTAGGATACTCTTACTGCACAGTTTTTGCTCACATTACAGGCAAACCATGTACAACACTTAAAGTTCCCTCTTTTGAACAAACAAGCCTGGGCTCAGTATCTCACTATCCAGGTGTTGAAGAAGGACTCAGAGAATAAAGAAGCATATACAGTACCAGTTCGTCATCATCCTCTATCTTCAAAAGGGATAAGCTGCAGTTCTGGCAGGTCTGTTTACATCCAGTCCACTGTTTACCATCCATGATGAAATAATAACATTTTATGCCACAGCAGAACCACCGTGCTTCAACATGTTTGCCTACAACAGAAAAGGGGATGGTGAAAATTCTTATGTTCTAGTATTCCGTTATTAGAGCATTGTTTTAATTACATATCTATAACTAAATAAAATTTCATGGCTCTAAGAAATTAAAATTCTAGAATGTTGAGAGACCCTTGCATGCCCATGTTCTATACACTATTATTTATAACAGTAGATATATAGAAACAACTGATGTGTCCATTGTGGATAAATCAGTAGAAAAAATGTTGCACATGCACACTAAGGAATACTATTTAGCCTTTAAAATTAAGTAAATTGGCTGGGCATGATGGTGTATGCCTATGACCTAGGCACTACACAGTGTGAGACAGGAGGATCACAACCAGTTTGAGACCAGCCTAGGAAGAGTAATGACTTCTACACCAGCCTTGGCTATGAAGTAGATGCTAAGACAGTTTGAGCTACAAAATAAAACCCTGTCTGACACTTCAGCTCCAAAATGTGCTTCTGGGAGCTTCACTATGGTCACAAATGGGCCAACTCTCTCATGCCATTGCAGAAGGAACACACACACATACACACACACACACACACACACACACACACACACACACACACACACACACACACAATTATTTTTATGACTGCATGCATATGAAAGCGATAAGTCCATGTCAGCCTAAGAGTTTGGTAAGTATACTCTTACTGTAAACTTCCAGATTCTGTTAGCAACTAAGCTGGAGCCTCTGGTTTACACACAAACCAAATGATCCTGAACTGTTAGCATTTCTGACTTGCAGTTCCACCCATTGCAGCAGTAGAAGACAGACAGCCACTGTAATCTAGAAGTTATAAAATTCTCCTAATTCAAAAAGTAATTTCTGGGGTTCCAGGCCCCTACATGAGATAAGGAAATCCTTAGCCATTAACAGGCAGATCACCAGCATTGTAAGCTGCTGATTGGACTTCAAATCTTCTGGAGAAGAAACAATACAGAATAAAGCAATTCATTATTCAAGACCCCCTTCTTACCTGTGCGCTGTTTGCAATCCAAAACAACTTTAGTTTCCCCACGGCATCTGTTCTGTTTTCTGTTGAGGGAGTCCAGGTGTTCTCTGAGGGCCTCAAACTCTATAGACTTATTTCTCAACATTTCTTCCCTTAAGTAGCTGTCATTTTGCATGGTGCTGTACTCTTGATGGAGATCATTTAGAGTTTTCTGCAATTCATGTTTTTCTTGACTATACTGAAAAACTGAAATTAGTAGCAGATATAACACCAAAAAATACTAATAATGAGTAAATATTGAAATTTAAGATAATAGAGAAAAGCCATGTGACAACCAACACTTATCATTACTTTAACTGGTACTTTGACATTAAGAAAGTAACACTTCAATTAATTTGCTATAGGAATGGAAACATGAATTTCTCTCTGTGGGGGTAACTTTAATATAAAGTAAACAATACAGCTGGAAAAAATTATAGTGGATGTGCCACACTTCCAATTACTTAAATTTCACAGCACAAACATTTCAAATAAGTATCTAGGTAAAATATTCAGTGAATACTTAATAGAGTATGACATTGTGAACTAAGAAACATTAAGAAATGACGCAATTATCATTGTACCCAAGGAAAAGCAAAATATCCAAATATATAGCATTATCTTAGCACAGTATTGCAGTGATTTCCTCTAAAATCTGAAGGGATAGAATAAAGTTTTAACATCTCTGCACAAAGAAGTCTCTTCACTCAGTACACACAGAGAAAAATGAAAAGAACTTCATCATTTTGTTTACACTTCTGTTTCTCACAGAATGTTTACATATTATTCATAATCACTTGGTCATGGTGGATAATTTTTGATGTAAACTAGACCAAGATAGACAGACTCAGTATGTACTCATTCATACATGTATCTTAGATGTAAAGCAAAGGTTAATCAGGCTACAATCCATAACCCTGGAGAACCTAGGTAAAAAGGGGGACCCTAAGAGGGACACACAGGAAAGGCCCCAGGAAATGAAAATGGTTAAGATGTCCTGGGTAAACTAGAAGGGAGAGTAATGGGAACATGAGGGACCAAAGGACCCAGTTGGTGAGAGACAGACGGGAAAAAGCAATGAAAGAGAAATCTAGATAGAGGGAACCATTGTGGGATTAGGGAGAAACCTGGTGCTAAAGAAATTCTCAGGAATCCACAATGGGGACCTCAGCTAAGATTCCTAGCAACAGTGTAGAGGGCTTGGAATGGCCCTCCCCTTTAATCAGTTTAGTGACTACCCTAATTGTCATCCTAGAACCTACATCCAGTAACTGATGGAAACAGATGCAACGATCCACAACCAAGCACCAGGCTGAGTTCCTCAAGTTCACTTGAAGAGAGTGAGTAGGGAATATGTCAACAAGGGGGTGTGCTGAACCCAACTAGTGGGAGATCACAGACTATGGACTGTCAGCTGGGGAACCCGCATGGGACCTGACTAGGCCCTCTGAATGTGGGTGACAGTTATGTGGATTGATCTTTTTGGGGAGCCTGGCATTGGCACCAGGACCTATCCCAGATTTTTAGCTGGCTTTTTGGAGCCCATTCCCTATGGTGGGATACCATGCTCAGCCTAGATACACGGGGGAGAGGCTTGATCCTGCCTCAACTTGTTATTCCAGACTTTGTTGACTCCCTAAGGAAAGCTTTATCTCCTCTGAGGAGTGTATAGGGAGTGAAAAGGGGGGAGGTGGGGGTCAGGAAAAGGGAAGGAATGGGGAACTGGGGTTGGTATATAAAATGAAAAATAATTTTTTAGATAAATAAAAATAAAAAAATTCACAATCACCTAAGCTCAGAATGCAGACTACAAACAAGTTCTCATAAGGAACAGTAGCAAGAATGAGATAGATCAAGGCAGCTCCCAACAGCCCCAGAATTAACAAAATAGGTATGTGTGAGAACAGGACACTGTCCTGTGTCAGGTAAAAAATAATGATGTCCAGAGCTAACTAGGACATCCTGTGATTATAAACAGAACAATAAACAGAGTTGTTAATTGCATAATTTTTCTCTAAAGCTATTACTTAGGCAGAAAGGCAAAGAGGATGGATACCAGTTACTCACTGTGTTTCACCAGCACTGCAACAGTCACCAGCAGAATGGAACAAAGGATTCCCAGAGGTATTGCAATGAGGTACCAGGGGACTGAGCACTCTTAAGTCAAAACAAACAAACAAAGAACAACCAAGAAACTAATCAATATGAAAAGACCACATCCCAATACTAATTACTATTTTGTGTAGCATGGAAACAATAAGATATTGGTCTGTATAAAAATTTTACTGAAGTCCATCATTAAATGCTGACTGAAAATATGCTTTCAAATTTGTAGATTTCTACCTAAAAGGCAACCATGGTGGAAATCCTACTTGTGTGAAGTTCCGCAGGATTTCAGACTTATTTTACCTTTGATCTTATAGTCTCAATCCTCCTGAATCAGCCCGGAAGTAGCTGGATGACAGGCACATGCCCCTCACCTAATTATACAGGATCCTAAGTGCATCTTTCAGAAAGCACTGGAGGCACAGACACAACCCAAGTAAAAGAACCAAAGCTGTATAGTGCAGGCAACCAAAGGAGCATAACTGGAGTAGAGATGGAAAGAAAGAGGGATAGATGATTTTGAGAACTGATAAGGAACCATGGCTATTCTGGAGCTATCCTGTATACAGGTTCATCTGTAAAGGGGCCTAAAGTCAACTCTCTTCTTTATCACAAACTCCATTTTTTTAAACAATACTAAACATCTTGGTATATCTGAGGGTGTTGGGAAATCTGGAAGCCAAGCCTATGATTATCACTATGTCTAAGAAATTAAGGTTCTCAGCTAGGACTTCAACTGTTAAAGTTCATGCAGAGTAAGCAGAAACAGAGAAGAGAAATCAAAGTTTCCTCTTTTTATTAATAAACGTAATTACTTTGACGTTTCTGCAAATGTATAATGTGGTTTAGTCATCCCCATTCCCAATACCTTCTCTCATCCAGTCTCTTCCTCTGCAGCCTTCTTCCCGGGAAGAAGCCTCCTCTTGGGATGGACTACCTTTGCTGTTTCCTTGCATTGGATGTTGGAAATATTTAAGACAATGGAAACACCTTCTGCTAGAGTAAAAGTATCATCCCAAATGCATACTTTATGTATCTGTCAGATTCCATTTCTCTAGAACATTTGGTTTTCTTCAGATTCTAGTTTACAACTTTTTTAGGTTTCAGAATCTTTCTTGACTAGACTAAATAATAAAAATCTAATGGTTTCTCAAATTTTTTAGAATGTATTCACTTGCCACTTCGCAGGAATTTCTTTTCTTTCTTTCTTTCTTTCTTTCTTTCTTTCTTTCTTTCTTTCTTTCTTTCTTTCTTTCTATTTTTTTTTGAGTCAGGGTTTCTCTGTGTAGCTTTGGAGCCTGTCCTGGAATTCACTCTGTAGACCAGGCTGACCTCTAACTCATAGCGATCCGTCTGCCTCTGCCTCCCGAGTGCTGGGATTAAAGGCGTGTGCCACCAACACCTGGCGTTCGCTGGTATTTCTTACAGACTTCTATTGACCTGTCTTGCCTTCTCTGTTACCAGCTAATTGTTAAAAATAGCTATTGTTTTCCTTTCCTTTTTTATTTTAAAAAATTGATTAGTTCATTTTTAAATTCATTTTTGAGCAACTTTGTAAGTGGTTATTCTCCCACTAATACTCATTTATCTCCCTCCTACCCCTGTGCATCACTAAGCCCAGCTAAAATGGAGGGTTATAATCTTCAATAGAAGTCAATTGGACATTGTTTTCAAATATCAAAAGTTACAATGCATAAAAATCAGGTGAATTCAGACACTGGAAACACTTACCTCTGTGGCTAGCTTCACTGGGCACTTGAGTCTCATCAGGCCTCCCTCCATCCTGCAGCCCTGAAGAAGACTTATGGAATCTCAAAGTTGCATAAGTGATCTCCTCGTCACTCATCTTGGAAGTAAGCTAAGTATGGTCTGTGTTAAAATTTGGCCTTGAGTGATTTCTAAAGAAAAAGTTAAAATGCCCACCTTTAGGAAGGTATCTAGATCTGATGCTGCAGTGTGGTGGGGAGGGGTGGGTCTGTGTAAGCCCCCTAATGTTCAAAACACCCTAACTTACATGGGCTGACCCTGATTTCCACTAGAGGTAAGAAGTCTTTGAAGATTTCTGTAATTTATATCTCTACCCTTCACAGCATTTACTATTAGCAAACATAGAAAGAATTAAAAAGTTATTGAAATATTGGCACAGCTTATTTCTTTAAAATATTCAACATTTATAAATTTTTAGGCAAAATTGGTACCACTGAAAAATCATTGAAACACTTCTATACTATCAATTCAAATAATAGTCAAAGCTTTGTGGATGGATACAAATCTTTCCTTTAAAACTATTTATATATTTTGATAAATACATGAAAATAAAATGTTCTTACAGTCTTTTCAATTATATATGACTCTTAGAGTTCTCCCAGACACTACCTTTGAAACAATATATGATGGTTAATTCTGCAGTTGATTAATGCTTTGGGCTCCAAGAAACATAAATATTTCTTTGGTTAAATCCCAAACAACTGAGATGTCCAACCTCTCTACCCAATCACTGCCTACACATTTTTCTCCAGGGTCAGGCCTGATACATAGAACTAGAAAAGATCTTACTGCATGGGGTGGCCCAGACTCAGAAAGCAAATACTACATGTTCTCTAGCATCTGAGGATTCTGGACCCACGTCTTCATACATGCTACATAACCTGGAGTAACTGCAGCAACCAGGAAAGTAGAAAGGGATATTGCAGGGGTGGGTTGTGGGAGCAATAGAGGGGAATAGCAGTATACAACCTGAAGTTTTAATCTCAAATCATTCCATGTACATATATATCATTGTAGTATATGATGTTGCCAGAGGAATCTATATCAAAATAAATTTATTCACTATAAAGCATTCATTAGCTAATGCCCATGAAGGATTAAATCTGATAATGTGGTTCTCAAGGATCAAACTCAGGTGGTCAGTCAGTCTTGTGTAGTGAATACTTTACACACTGAGCCTTCTTACTTGGCTCCTATCAAGACTTCTTCAAAATGGATATATAAATATTTAACCATATCAAGAGTAATGAACTCCATCAAACCGTAGATCTTATTTTCTTAGCACACAGCAGAAGTCAAAGAACACTCAGAAGAATATAACCAGTGGTAACCTCCTGTTTTCACATGCTGCCAGAGTCATCCAGCTCTAACACAAGCAACATGGCTACCCCATCCATCAATCCCACTCACAAGTCACACCATCTGAAACTCTCTAGAGTATGTTTGATCATTTGATAGAAAAACAATAAAAGAAGCTGTTACCTGTTCCTCGAACCAGAAGTGGTTTTGGTGGAGGGAACTGAGTCTCCAGTTGGGGGACAAGTTGAGCTTTTCTGGACTGATCCTTCTTAGGTCCAAGAGTAAAAGCAGAACTGAATCGCCTCTTGAATGACACTCTAACTCATAATTTTCTGCGATCCTCTTAACAGATACTGGAAAGAGGAAGCTGCATGATGAGAGCTGATACTGACAGAAAGGGAAGAATTAACTTAGTGTAACAAAGGATGGAAGTCATTTACATAACCAATATTTGAAGACTGAGAAGGTAAACATGTCTGTGAGAAAGTTAAACCAGTGTTCTTAGCAAAACCACTAGTAAAAAGAGGTGACTGACATTCTGCAATTCCTAATTTTGTTAGCCTGTTGGAAATTTTCCCATATTTTACTATTAGAAAAAGTTACTTCTTGTTTTTGAATTATGCTTATTACAGCTAAGTGTATTTCAGGATGCCCTTAAAGCACACACATTTCCACTGTGAAACTTGCTGTAAACATTTATAGCTTTTTATTCATGCATAATATTTACTGTGAACATTGCTGTCATTCCATAAGAAGTAATCTTATTAATGAAATTTTCATGGTGTGGGATTATCAAAATATAAGACTTTGAGCATGCTCAGCAAATATTCTACCACTGAGCTACATACTTAGGCTTTGGTTCTCTTTTGTTTCTGTTTTTTGTTGTTTTTTTTTAACTTTGTGTATGTCTGTGTTTTCTTTTTGTGTATTTGTTTTGAGGCAGTTGTAATGTCATATTATTATGTACCCCAGGCTGGTCTCAATCCTGTTGACAAAATTTCTTCACTGCTGGAATTATAGCTATAACCTACCACATCAATTTAGACCATGTTTCTTGATATTTTCTAATAAGTAAAAAGCTGTGGTGATATATTATTTATTGTTTTAAAAAGCTACTGGAAATATAAATGCAAAGCTAACAAACACCATAGAACCAGGCAGTGATGATACACACCTATAATTCCAGGAGCCATACTAGTTAGCCATAGAAACCAGGTGGTGGTGGTATACTCCTTTAATCCCAGGATTCAGGAGAGAAAGGCAGATGGATCTCTATAAGTTCAAGGCCACTCAGTGTTATATTAGGGTGAATCAGTCTAAAAGAGAAACAGCTCACACAAAGGAAATCACCTTTAATCCCAGCTCTAGAGTGGTATATAAAAATAGAAATGGGGTATTTAGTATTGAATTTCAAAGATTTATTCTCCAGCCATGTTGAGGAGTGGACAGCCCTTTCAGCCTGAGGTAGAAATAATAGCTTATGGTCAGCTACTTTGTTTCTCTGATCTTCAGCTTGAACCCCAACATCAGTCTCTAGGTTTTAATTATTCATTTTACAGTTGGTGTCCAACATTAAGGTACAAATTCACAAATAAAGCTATTTGCCTTTGAAGCCACTAGCCCAGGCTGGAGCTACACACGGGGCTCCCTCTGGAGTACCTGGCCAGATGGCTAGGTTTTCTTTTGCTTTTTCCCCAACGCTTTGAGATATTTGAGATTTGCCTGTTGTAGCCTCTCTAAACAGTCTTCAACTGACACCCAAACTCCAGAGGCACCTAGGCTCTAAACTCTGGAAGACATAAATACCCTAGAGAAACTGGCTTTTGCTTTCAGGTCATATCTAACACATGTGTTTCTTCCTAACAATCCCATGTGCATTTTTTTCAGACAGACTGCTCTGTATCCCTCTCCCTTTCTGGCTCCCCCTGCCTGTGAGCTGCAGGCTTTCCCTAAAGCCCCTCTCCTTGGGCTGACACTCTCTGCCAATGGCCACAAGCTGGTTATCAGATTCAGATTTGCTACTCTCACAGTTCAATGACACTGTCTGCAGATTTGGTAAGACTACAAGGAATTCTTAAAGGAAAGAATTAGTATAAAAAGAGAGATTTTTCACACATTAAAAATGAGGAGTATATAAGGGAGCAGGAAGGTTTGTAGGGGGAAGAATAGAGGAGAGCAAAATAAGAGATACCATCAAAGAGGAAGTCAGTATAGGTTTAAAGTGAAATCAGGCACTAGGGAAATGTTAAGAGATCTACAAGGATGGCACTAACTAACCATCAAAGCAACAGTGGAGAGGCTACCTTAGAAACCTTCCCCTGATAATGAGATTGACAACTAACTTATATACCATCCTAGAGCCTTCAGCTAAAAACTGAACTGAACTGGAATCCAGTTGCAGAAGAGGACTGATGAGCAAAGGGGTCAAGACCAGGCTGGTGAAACCCACAGAAACAGCTGACCTGAATAAGGGAGAGCTCTCGGCCCCCAGATTGATCACTGGGAAACCAGCATGGAACTGATCCAGAAGCCATGAACATGGGTGTCAGCGAGGAGGCCTCAGAAATCTATGGGGACTCTTGCAGTAGATCAGTACTTGTCTCTAGCATAGGAATGGACTTTGGAAGCCCATTTCACATAGAGGGATACTCCCTCAGCCTAGACACATGGGGGAGGGCCTAGGCCTTATCCCAAAGAATATGACAGATTCTGAGGAACTCCCATGGAAGGCCTCACTCTCCATGGGGAGCCAAATGGTATTGGATAGATAGGGTGTTAGTGAGGGCCAGGGGAGGAGGGGAAGGAGAGGGAATGGGGATTGACATGTAAAAAAATCTTGTTTCAAATTTAAATTTAAAAAAATTTAAAAATGAGAAACCCATTACAATGGAGAGTGTTAGATCTCTGTATGATTACCTAAAAGATGATTTAAAAATGGAACAATTAGATCTGATGCCAGGGATCTGCTCACCAGACCCGAATTCAGTGGTGTGTACCCACACACCAAGACCCTGGTGCAGTTCTGCCTCCATCCACCGGCCCAGGTAGGTCAGGGGCTGTTTTCAATTCCGAGGCCCTGCTCAGAGACATCTGACTCCAGGGATCTGTTCACCGGATCCGAACTCAGCAGTGGAATCCGACAAACCAGACACTCCCGAGCCCCTGAAGGCAGTTCCGACTCCATCCACCTGCCAGCACACCTGAACACTGCTGAGTCCACGGTAACAGTGCCACCTCCATCCACGAGAAGAGGACAGACATCAGAGTATTGGATCTGTTTGCCTCTACCAGAAAGGAACCTTGGTCCCATACCCACCAGGAGAGGAAGAGATTCCTGCTACACCCACCAGAACAAAGGATGATAAGGGGACAAGTTAAAAGCACATTCAACAGCAGAAAACCCAATATGACACCACCGGAGACTAAGAACCATACACCAGCAAGACCTGAACATCACAATGCAGATGAACCAGAAGAGAATGACCTTAAAAATATCCTCATGAAAATGATAGAGGACCTCAAAGAAGACATAAGAAAAATCTCTTAAAGAAATGGAAGAAAAAACAAACCAAAAATACAAGATATCAACAAATCTCTCAAGGAAACAATTCAAGACCTAAAAACTGAAATAGAGACAATAAAGAAAGCACAATCTGAGGGAATGCTAGAAATAGAAAAGCTGGGTAAATGATCAGGAACTACAGATGCAAGCATAACCAACAAAATACAAGAGATGGAAGAGAGAATCTCAGGAGTTGAAGACACACTAGCAGAAATAGA